CCCCAGAAAAGCCCATCAAAATGTTGCTTTTAGAGCAGTCTGAAACCATAGGAGAATTATAGAAATTAATCCAGAGAACGAAATTTGATCTGTTGATTTACACTAATGCACAACAGCTGGCAGGAATCCCTAAAAAATGATAACCGCGAGGATGGATAGAGATAGCTTAGTTTGACAGTCTATTCTTCAATGCTCTCCAAATGTTAATTCAATTAGATCAAGTCCCCTGCTAGCAAACAGTTCAATCTTGTCACACACTTTTAGGCCGCCAATAAATAAACCTTTAAATTTTGAACGTTGGCCCGTAGAGGACACGAAAGGAAAGTAAAATAACGATGTGTTTAGGGACATATACGAGCAAATTCATTAACACACCAAAAAGCACTTTTAGAACTGAACAGTTCTAGAATACCTCAGTCTAATGATGTGATCATTACTTCGTGCAAGCAGTTTCTCCAAATGTTCTATCTTTGCTTCTAAGTTAGAATAATCAACAACTGGCTGCTGAAAATAAATTATCAACAATAAAAAAACATTACTAGTACCGCAAAAAACTCTGTTTCTGAGCCAGAGAGAATTTCAATCTTTTCACTTCCCTGTTGCAAAACAGAGAACCTAACCAGCAAAAAAATATTTTCATAGCGTATTGATTTCTACTTTACTACACAAAGCCATAAAAGATGCAATATTTAACTCATTCTTGCAACTTTTTACTATATTTCGTTTGATTAAAGCTTCAATTAAAGCTCAAAAAAATTTTTAATTCAAAATCATTAACAAAAAATTTTATACGTGTAAGAACTAACCTCGTCTTTTCTTAGTAACACCGTGAGGTTAAAAATGTAAAATAAAAGAAGGGCGATAAATATCCATTGTAAGAAGTGAAGTGTAGGCATTGCGGCATTCTGGCACAATTACTTAGATATGTTAGTACATCAGCCGCAAAAACTCTGAAAAAGAAAATCCTACCTTTGTTGTACAGTGTACTGACAAAGAAGGTACATATAGAAATCATGACACAAATTTTTCCATTGAACGGTATTCAGACATGCATGACAAGTAACGGAGTAGCAAAAAAGCTAAAGTTCTAGACTGTTCCTTACAACCTAAAAAATAAATCACGGTGACGTATCTGCGTGTAAAAACTAATTTTCATTATGTCAAAATAATTTTGATCCAAAGTGAATGCTTATTTATACTCGTTCTTTTTAACAAGCTATATCAACTAAAGTGATATTTGTTCACCAAATGGAAATAAAAAAGAGCTGAAATAAAAAAATTTCCAGTAGAAAACTCACTAACTCTTTTATAAATGGAGGAGAGAAAAAGGAGAACGATGGAGAAGCGGTAAAAAAAAAGAATTTTGAAAATATGGGAAGCATTAACGGCTTCTTCTTCATTTTTTCCTCCCTCTCCTTCTCTTCTTCATTCCCTCTTTCATTATCCTTACTGGTAAAGTAATTTCTGGCAGGAAATCTTTAAAACTTCAAACGGTTGCTGACTTAAACTTTTTCAGCCAGTAGTCAATTAAAAAGGAGCAATGCATCTGCAAAAATCTGTTTAAAGACAATTAACACAACAACAAGAAAGAAGACAGATCAGCAACAAAAACCAAAAGAAAAAAAAAAGAGAAAACAACAGAAAAAGATCATTATAGAGAAGAAATTTACTAACCAAACATTCGACGTAGTCTCGTCAAACAGCGCGACAATTGCTCTTTTGCAGCAACATGCTCCTCATGTGTTGCTAAAAAAAAGATAGATAAATCAGTATA